GACATGCTCCTAGTTTTCAGGCAACATCAGCTGTCTGTGAGATGGGCCATAGAGAGCCATGTGTTACAGCTCCCAGGTCTTTTTGTTGGCATTCTGGCTGCATCTGGGTCCAACACTCAATTATTTGCAGTGAACAAGGGTGCTGGGTATGCCTCCTATCCCACCTATTCCTCATGCCCTTGTATTTTCACTGGGAAAAACAAAGTCCCTCTTGATAAGAGACTTGCTCTTCCCTGAACTCTTTGTCAGAGACTAATCCCATCGTGGGTTTAAAATCATTACTCATAAAGAGAAGTACATTAGTGCTAGCTAAGTCCCAGTTGGCCTCTTCTCTTCTTCACAGTGATGAATTGGCAAAAGAGTGGGAAAAGAAGGGACAGGACCAGGTAATGGGGTCACTACAGAGCCACAGCCTCTGGTGACACAGGTCTCCTAACCAGAACAAGCTATGACCTGGGAGATCCCCTTCCTGGAGCTCCTTGAGCACCATGGGAAGTTAAAGCAAGGGCTTGTTGATTTGCTTTGCTTTGTTAATTTTTATTGCATTTATTCACTGGTGTGTGTGTGTGTGTGTGTGTGTGTGTGTGTGTGTGTGTGTGTGTGTGTGTTCCAGTGTGCGTGCTTGTATTTAGATGTGGTTTGCATATGGAGGTCAGAGAATGTATTTCAGAACTTGGTTTGCTCCCTCCACCATGTGTGTCCCTGAGACAAAACTCAGTTTCAGTTTTGGTGGCAAGGACTTTTATCCACTGAGCCGTCTCGCTGCCTGCTCCTCTCAGCAGATCCTAATGAGGGGTACAGTCCCTGTCATTTGCCTACTCATCCACAAAGGTCCCTGAACTTGTCAAAAGAAGAGTTGAAGGAAGGCGCTGGAGAGATGGCTCAGAGGCTAAGACACTGGCTGCTCTTCCAGAGGACCCAGTTTCAATTCCCAGCACCCACATGGCATCTCCATGGGATCTGATACCTTCACACAGACATATCTGTAAGCAAAACATCAATGCACATGAGTAATAATAAATTATATACATATATGCATGCATACATACATACATACAGTTGAAGGAAAAGCCTGGGAGACGGCAGGATTTTAGAACCATGCTTGTGAATGAGTACACATGAGTGGTTTTCTTTCTTTTGCTGGTTATGGCCTGGTAGGGCATAAACATTTAAGCCATCGATAAATGGAAACAAAAATGGAAAACGTTGAAACTAGAAAAACAAAAATTCCAGATGACTAACAGCTCCCATTCTAAACAGCCTTGAATAGGCTTTGCCTTCCCCAACTGCCCAGAGGCAGCTCTCTTGGGAAACATGCCACCTCGGCCACGCTATGACCTCTGAGATGGCTGGCTCACATTTCCAGAAGTGGCAGTGTGCCACACAGTGCCCATGTGCAGCGATTTAGGAACCACGTGCCTCCTCTTCCCGGTTCTAGGCCCCGTCTCGTGCTATTTTTGTTCTCCATGATATTTTCAGTTCTTCTGTGAAATGCTGTGGTAAAATGAAAAAGAAAAAGGGTTCTTACTTCAACAAGGACAAACAGGCTGGTCAGAATTCATGCCTTAAGAGCTCTGGAGGGAGACCTGGCATCCATTCTGTGCCTTTTGGAGACAGTGGCTCTTGACTCATAAATCCAAAGACTTTCCAATCTGAACCATGGCCCAACACTATTTGGAAAGTTCCACCCCAGGCTGGGAGGTGTACAACAACTACACTTTTGAAATGACCGTTAAGGCAATGGGAAGCCAGCCATGGGGTGGAGGAATATCTTTTTCTCCCCAGCAATGTTTCTTAGCCCTGCAGTTATATTTTCACAATCCCTAATAAATTGCCAACAGAATTACTGACAAGCCATTTAATGGCTGCCATCTTTCCCAAGTTTGTGAGTTGCCCTGGATAGGCTTTCGCTGACCCCTGAGAGCCAATGGCTGGGCTCTAAAACTGGGCACAAGTTGAGTGTCCTGGAATTAGCCTTTAACAAGCCATTGGCAAGCCAACTCCAGAGCCTTGTCTGCTGCCTGAGGAGAGTGGACACCATCGAAAGTATGGCTTTGTTTACAGGCATGGCCTGTCCTCTGGGCCACATGGGCAACATATCCTAACCCCATTTCATCCTTCCAGCCCTTTGTACTAATGCTGTTGGGGAGTGTTTGGCTTGACTCCAGTCTAATTAAAATTCCTACCTCTTTGGGAATATGGCTTTATGTTCCCATAAAGCCAGATTAATACAGGGCCCATCAGGCAGCTCGCTGCTCCATCAGCCAGTAAATGCCTCAGATATTATGGGAATACAGTGAAAACATGATTTCTCTTTTCAACTCTGGAGAGGTGGTAGAATCTTTAAAAGGAGGAATGTCTCCAGGCCAGCAGTTAGGAACACGTGTGGCTGTTTCAGAGGGCCCAGTCTGGTTTCCACATGATAGCTCACCCCCCATTCTGGGGGATCCAGAGCCCACCTTGTGTACTGCATACATGTGGTGCACATACATACATACATACATACATACATACATACATACATACAGGCAAAACTTTCATACACATAAATGAAAATAATCTTCTTAATTAAAAAAATTCAAACAGTGGTGGTGGCACACGCCTTCATTCCTAGCACTCTTAAGGCAGAGGCAGGCAGATCTCTGAGATCAAGGCCAGCCTGGTCTACAGAGCGAGTTCCAGGACAGCCAGGGCTACTCAGAGACGGCAGACTTGGTGGGAGGTCTTAAGTCAGCAGAGGTATGCCTCTGAAGGAGGTTTAAGACCCTAGCCCCAGCTCTTCATCTCTTGTAGTTTCCCTAATGCCTTGAGGTAAATAGCATGTCCCCACCATGATATACCATGCTGCCATGAGCGACATGGGTAACCCCAAAACTGTGAACCAAAACAAACCCTCCTTCTAAACTCAATTCGCCTCGGGTGTTTGTTGCACTAGTGGGAAGCTGTCTCACGCGGACCAGATGAGCCCTCATCATTCTGGCACATAACAGATTGTGTGCCCTCAGCACTGGCTTACAATATTCCAGCACATGTTAGTTGAATTAATTAGTGATTCAGTAAATATATAGACTTGGCATCTTGCACTGAACTTAGGTTTCTATGTCTCTGATTAGAAGTTTCCGGACGTTTATTAATAATCACGACGGTCCCTCTTAGAGGCCTTTCCTGGAGTAGACTCCAGCTCCACTTCCGAAGGCACACCCTCCGTCTTCCTCCTCCTACCCCTGACATGACTGTGATCACCTCTGTCATCTCTGGATGCCTCACTGGCTGGCATGCAGGTGATTAACCTCCCTGACCGCTAGAGGGCGAGCTTAATGTCAAGCGCTGGTGCGAGCCTGCTGACTACACAAAGCTGGATGCTTCTTGCTGAGACAACCAGGACACTCTTAGTAACTACGGGAGACAGCGGGTGTAACCAGGGGTGTTGGGGTCGGTTCCGTGCGGCCAGCTCCCTCCTGCAGAGCGGACAGGGCAGGGCAGCACAGCCTGCACGCGGGAATCCTTTCACCCCAGCGCTGATTACAGCGCACCCCTCCGGGGTCGGGACGAGGCCCGGCAAACAGCTGCGAGCGGCGCCTTCGGGAGCAGAGTTCCAGAAGCTTCAGCGAGTCACATCTGCACAGGTCTGCACCTCCACCCCGGGTGCGGGTCGGGAGCCTGTGCGCTCTCAACCCTCGGCTTGGCTTTCACACCTGCTTTTCTTGTGTTCCTTGGGATTTTCAGTGTTTTTCCAGCCAGTCCTTCCCCACGACTGCAATCCCCTGTCACCGTGATTCCTCAAATTAAACTTTGTACAAAGGCGTGGTTTCTTTCTCCTGGCGGGTACAGATATCTGAGCCCTGAATAAACCACAGGTTTGTCTAACTTGTGTAAACGCATCAGAGACGGAATTCATTCTTTTTAATGTCCTTTACAACACCTGGTTATCTAAGGGCAGTCTCAGTGGGACAGATGAGCTCTGGCCCGGGGACATGTGGCCCTCTGTGTGACTGCCGCCCCCTCCTCCCACCCCGCAGCTCTGCCCTCCTGGCAGCGCGCTCCAGGGCTGGCAAAGATACTGCCCTGAGGCACCCAGAACCCCTCCCACCCCAGCCCCTAACTAACCCTGAATGAACGTGACATCTGAGACCTAGTGACACCTAGGGCGGAAATGAGACGCTGCAATGTCATCGCTGAGTCGGCTAATCCATCATTGTAACAAATGTCTGAGACAAATCGTCTTGGAAAGAAGAAAGGGTTTTTTTTGGCTCGTGATTTTTTTTTTATTAATGCATGCAGTTTTCCTAGTTTCTTAAAAAAAAAAAAAAGGTTTATTTTATTATGTACACAGTATTCTGCCTGTCTGCAGACCAGAAGAGGGCATCAGATCCTATTATAGGTGGTTGTGAGCCATCTCAAGACCGCTGGAAGAGCAGCCTGTGCTCTTAACCTCTGAGCCATCTCTTCAGCACTTGGCTCATTATTCTGAGGTTCAATTTACGATCAGTTTGCTGGAGCTTGGGGATGGAACAGTAGATCCTGGTGGGAGCACATCGCAGCAGAGGCCTCTTTACCTCAGGGCCAAATATGAGAAAAATCAAAGAGGAAAGGGTGGGTTCCCACCACCCATCTTTTCATTCCAGCCTCCCTTCCTTTCCCCTTCCCTCCTGTCCTCTCCCTTCCCCTTCCCTCCCCTCCCCTTTCCTTCCTTTCCCTTATCCTTCCCTTTCTTTCTTTCCAAACGTGTACTTTATCTGTGTGTCTGTGTGAGCATGGGCACAGCACACCCTCACAGCCAGAGAAAGACAACTTTCAGGAGTTGTTCCTTTCATCGTAGGTTCTAAGGTTAAACTCTGGTCACTGGGCTTCACCTGCTGATCCCACCCCTGGCCAGCCTTCCCACAATTCCTTTCAAGTGCACACTCCCCATGCAGACCTCTTGCTAAGCCCCAGTTCTTGTGGGTTTTGTTATTATTACATTGCCTAGGACCTCAAAGCTGGGGACCAAAATTTTAACACATAAGCCTCTGGGAATATTCGAGATCCACACTATAGAAACCCCCTAAGGATTTCTGGTCAGTGTCAGTCCTTTTTCCCCAGAGAAGCCAGTGAGTCCATCTCTAACTCAGACTGATTTAGGCTTTTGCCTGTAGCAACTGAAGGGACCTAATGTGCCATTTAATGGATGCCACTAGAACCAATTGGTTTTTCTTTTTTATTTTTATTTTAGATGAGTGGCATGATAATCCAGACCATTTTCAAACTCCCTCCGTAGGCAAGGTAGGCCTTGAATTTATGATCTTCCTGCTTCTGTCTCCCAATTGTAAGCATGTCACTACCACACCTGGCTAAAACCAGTTCTTGGTGAATTATTACATTCTGGGTAACTGAAAAGAAACAAAAATATTTTTTTATATTTTTTCCGTGTGTATGCACATGTGTTTGTGTGTGTGCACATATGTGGAAGCCAGAAGACAACCTAAGCTGTTGTTACTCAGGAGCAATATACTTATCTTTTGAATGAGGGTCTCTCTCTGGCCTAAGACCCACCAAATCTAGGTTGGCTGACCAGTGAGCACTGTGGATGTGCCTGTCTCTGCCTCCCCAGTGCTGGGATTACAAAAGCATGTGACAATACAGGATTTTAAACATAGGTTCTGAGGAACAAATTCAGGTCCTTGTGCTTGCAAAGCAAATACTGTACTCACTGAGCCATTTCCCCAGCCCCCAAACACTTTTTCTATTTTTTAATTAAGATTTATGACAAATTATAAATAAAGAACCATGTGGCCAAATATTTTCAAAGCAGACAGAACTCTGAGACTGTTTACCTAGCTTAAGGCAGTTTCTATTTTTAAAAGTCTCAGATCAGAATAACTTCAGGTCTTCTTCTGGCTGGGAGAGAGGAGCCAGGACACCTCTGCTGGTTTCTATGACAACCATCAACAGCTATGACAATGCCAGTAAAAGAAATAGAGGACTTGGTCATTTTATCACTTTGTGTGTGTGTGTGTATATATACACACACACACACACACACACACACACACACACACACACACACACACGCAGCCAGATCGTAGCTGATGTACGTAGCCAACCTCTGCTGTGTCTCCAGTTTCCAGGGGAGTGTGGGTGGGTTAGCAAAAGGTAAAGACGGGCTGCCCTCTTGTCTTCATGGGTTCTGCAGATGCATTTTTTTTTTTTGTCACTTGGAAGAGATTAGTTGGTGACCTACTTCCAATTCCACAAGTCAGGCTGTCATGATTCCAGAGAGTGGTGGCTCAAAATAGCCCTGTGCACTTGTGCTCAGTGGAGGCACAGGTTGCTTTCCCACGAAGAAGTTGATTCCAAAGGTCAGGCATGGGATGAGGGCTCACTCGAGCATGCAGGGCATGGGCACGGGCTGCAGGTTTGAGACAGGGACACAGAGGTCTCTGTCGTCTTGCCTTCTACCTTCTAATGTCCTCCACAGGGAAACATCTCCCAGAAATGTCCTACCTTGTGATGACATCGAACCAGGCGAAGGGCGCTTTGATGAAGAAAATGCTCAGTTGAGGTTTTCACAGCACATTAAGAATTCAGGACTGAGGCCGGGCGTTGGTGGCTCACATCTTTAGTCCCAGCACTCAGGAGGCAGAGACAGGTGGATCTCTGTGAGTTAGAGACCAGCCTGGTCTACAGGAGCTAGTTCCAGGACAGCCTCCAAAGCTACAGAGAAACCCTGTCTCAACCAAACCAAAACAAAACAAACAAAAAGAATTCAGGATTGGAGGGTGTAGCTCAAGTTCCCAGAGAGAGAAATTGCCTAGTGTCTGTGAAGCCCTGGGTGTGATACCGGTGCACATTTCTGGGCATGGTGATACAGGGCAACCCCAGCAGTTGGGGGGAGGCAGGAGGATCAGAAGTTCAAGGTCATTTTTGGTGAGTTCGAAGCCAGCCTGGGTTATAGGAGACCATGTCTGGGAAAACAAACAACAACCCGCACCCCCAAACCCCAGCTGTAACACCTGATTTCAGGATCGGGGTGTGGTGGTTTGAAAAAGTGTCCCCCATAGACTCACGTATTTTACCACTCAATCCCAAGTTTGTAGCTGTTTGGGAAGGTCATGAACCTTTCAGGAGGGAGGACATCAGAGTTTGTAGCCACATCCCACCTCCAGTTCTCTCTGCTTCTCTCATCTTCCTGTTCCTGCTGCCATGAAGGACAACTTACCCTCTGGAGCCTTAAGCCCATAAGAAAACAATGGCCCTCTTTCCTCTATAACTTGCTCTTGGTTTCGGCATTTCGTCACAGCAGCAGAAAGTTCCTAAGACACGGGAGAAAGGCCTTCTACTCCGTTGTGCAGATGACTGCCAGGCTATACTTGCTTCTCCATACTATCCTACCCAGTATTGTTAGCCACGGGTCCACTCTGTTCCCAGGAGCATCTCAGGAAAGGGAAAATTCCAAAATTTATAAGCCTAGAGATAATCGTTTCTCCAGTGTCAGCCTGATGGATGGGTGGATGCGTCAAGGCCTGTGTGTTTCTGTCTGTGTTTGGCAGAGATTTGTTTATTCTGTGGTTTCTGCATGCTTGACTCAGTGCTAGGCAACATGGTTCATGACCTGATATTTAAAATTTTGAGGCAACATGGCCAACAAACACTATTCCTGAGGAATACAAGCAGGCTACATGCTTGTGCTGTCTCTTGGTAGCAAGGGCTGCTTGAGTTAGGCAGGGAAAAACAACACTAGCTGAGTCCCACTGTATTCCAGCACTGATGAGAACTGTTACCTGACTTAGTTCACGACAGTTTATGAGGCTGCACATCCTTGCATAAGAACTGAAGTAATTCGGTGATATTCAACAACATCCCACGGGCACACGCTCAGAAAGTGGCTGAGTCAGAAAATGAACTCAGATTCTTGTGCCCTAATTCCATCAAAATACATCTTCCTGAACATGACAAGAGTTAACTCTGCCTTCCAGAAACAACAGATCAGAGTCTGAGTGCTGAGTTCAAGGTCACTGAAACCTCCACAGGTTGAGCTAATACCAAACGTAGGTCTGTTCATCCCATGCTGTCCGGCATCTCCTCATTTCGTTACAGCCTGTTCTCACATTTTTTCCTTATGTCAGATGATGGCTGTCGCCAGTGGCACTGCCCATGAAATGGCATCATGACTGTGGCTTTCAGTGGTGAAGCAGGTGGGGCAGCTGCTTCTCACTTCTGAGGTCCTTTCAGAGCTGCTCCTCCTGGTACAGACTGAGAAACAGAGGCCACCATTTGCCTTGGTTTGGCTGCTCCTGACCTACACAAGCACCCCAGGTTCCATCTGACTATAAAACAGACCCTTCCTCAAGCTCTGAGTTTCCCACCTCTAGCTCCACCCAGACTGGCGGCTCCAAGCAAGGGGTCAGAAAACCAGGGTTCACTGTTGCCAGTTTCTATTTCTTGGCTCTTGGTAGCACTCAGTGTGTGTAGGACAGAGGGGGAAATATGTGAACAAAACAGAGCATTAATGCTAGCCCTGTGGGCATGTGCTCCTTACCCACTGCAGGGAGGAAACAGGAGCATCTGTACTGGCCTTTGAGCCCCGGAGCACCTCCTTTTATCAGTTCTGTCCCTCTAGAGAACCCTGATTAACACAGATGCTTAGGTACCTCAAAGAGGAGCCTCAAATAAAAAAATGTTCATGTTAATATTGATTGCTAGGTGTTAGCAAGTGCTTTGCAATGTCTTCCACGGGTTGCTTGCACGTCTCCTACACCAGGCATGCTCACTTCTGTGACCCAGCAGGAAGAGGAATGGTATCCGCTACTGGCAGAGCTTACACTGTATCCCTATGCCCCTCATACAGGAACTCAAACAAGCAAGACAGCGCGAAGACAAAGCTGAATTTTTGTGTATGGTGAATGCTTCTGCCCAGACGGTGCTTCGTTAAAAAGTGGTGTGTACACCTGTGATCACAGCATTCAGTAAGCTAAGACAGAAAAATTGGAGAGAATCTGAGACCAGCCTGGACTACACGGTGAGAATGGTCTTGAAGAGGAGGGGTAAAAGGAGAAAAGAAAGGCACAGGAGGAGGAGAGGAGAAAGAAAAAGAAAAGCTTAGTTTATGAAGTTGATCTCTCCAAGAGAGTGAACCAGATGTCATCTGTGTCCTGAAACAGAAGAGTTTCCAAGGTGCCCGTGGGGCACAGAGTCACTATGTCTAATCAACGAGGTCGGAAGAGTTATCAGAGTGTGCCTAGGCCTTTGTATTTGGAAAGTGCCTGTGCCAAGGAAAAACCGTACAGCCTTTGGACGAGAGGAACCAAAGAGCTCCATCTAGTGACTTAAGAGTTCTTCTCAGGTTAAAATCAGTAGGAAGAAAGCAAGACATCCTCACAGATGAGAGCCCGAAAAGAAACTGTGCAGTTAAAACAAAAAGCCCCAAAGCACTCCACACGGGACCTCCAACACCTGTAAACCCAAGTTTACAAGTTTTTAAATATAAATAAATAAAATACTTTATGATATTTTATGTGAAAAGTTTTATGTTCATAAAACTATGCAGGCAAATAAACACTTTTCATTAATTTAGGAACACCAGCCCTCACCACATGACATCCGTATTGGTGTTATCACTTTTTGTAGGATGTATCACCCCGGTGATCATAGACGGTACATCATGTGAAACGGTCTATACAATATTTGTTTTTCCTTCTTACAAGCACTTAGGGTTTTGCATGCATTTGTGTTATTAAGTTCATGTAACACATAGGAAAAAAATTAATAAAAAAAAAAAACCTTGGGGAATAGAGCATTCATTTGTGTGTTCGAGAAAGCAAGAGTGAGAAGAGAAAAGGACAAAGCAAGGCCTAAAGCCAGAGGAATCCGGCACTTACATCATAACTGCCAGGCAGCCTAACGTTATGACCTAGGGATAACAGAGGCTGAGGCAAGTGGGGTGACAGCCTTTGCCTGTCCAATATGTTCCTGGAAGACAGAGATTGACAGACAAACAAAATAAATCTTCCCTGAGGACTGTGAGTTATATCACATATGGAATTTGGCAACTCATGTGTGGAGGTAACAGATGGCAACTACAGAAATAGCGTGTCTGACAGCTAGGTATGGGTGGATAATTAGCTGAAGTCAACATATGATAAAAATAAGTATGTGTCTTATTAGCATTTCTATTGCTGTGATAAAACACCAAGACCATGAGCAACTTGGGGAGAAAAGGGTTTATTTCGCTTTTATTTACATATTATAGTCCCTCACTGAGGGAAGTCAGGGCAGGAACTCAAGCAGGGCAGAAACAGAGGCAGAGGCCATGAGGAATGCCACTTACTGGCCACTTCCTCATGACTTGCTCAGCCTGTTTTCTTATATAGCACACAGGACCACCAGCCCAGGGGTGACTATCTCAGTGAGCTGGGCCTTCCCACATCAGCCATCAATCAGGAAAATGCACCACCAGGCCATTCTGGTGGGGGCATTTTCTGAACTGAGTTTCCCTCTTTCAAAATGACTCTAGTTTGTGCCAACTGGACATAAAACTAGCCAGCAGAGTGTATATTATTGCAGTTAATCATCTCAGGAGTATTTAAATTTTTCATTTAAATATCATCCTTAGAGCAACCACAAATAACTGTCACATCTGGGTTAAGGGATATTTCTAACTTCTGATGCCAGTCTGTGTCCTGAATTACTCTGAAGCAGACCCAGGCGCTATCTGTGCTATGGCTTACATGTGGCTTGGGCATGTTTCCCAAGCATTCGTGTGTAGCTTGGTCCAAGTGCAGTGATAAGAAATGTTGGAACCATTGAGAAGCAGGGCCAGGAGAAGCCAGGTTCCCAGGCATTGCTCTTGGACAGGCCCATTAATTTCATGGTGACACCTTTTAGTTCTCATCAGAGTGGGAAGATAAAGCAAAGTCAGCCTTTCTTTCTCTCTGTGTGCTCTTTTGTCTTTCTTTTTTCCTTTTTTCAGCTCTGAGTGCCTCGTGTGTGCTGAGCACACTCTGACACAGAGGTAAACTCTTAGCTCACCATTTTCCCATGTTCCATAAACAGATGGCTAACCTGAACAGAGACTAAACAGTTAGGGCTGCCTAAACTTGAACTTTTCAACTTGTTTATTTGTTTTGTTGTTATTTTTCAAGACAGGGTTTCTCTGTGTAGCCTTGCTGTCTTGGAACTCACTTTGTAGACCAGGTTAGCCTCAAACTCACAGAGATCCACCTGTCTCTGCCTCCTGAAAGTTGGGATTAAAGGTGTGCACCACCACTGCCCAACAAACTTTTGGTTTTTAACATTAAGCTAAGTAATTTTTGTTGTTTTTAAAGTTCTTAGCTTTAGGCATTTATCATAGCAGCAGAAAACAGCTGCCTTAGTTACTTTTCTGTTGCTGAAAACAAAAAACAAAAAAACAAAACAAACCCACCATGACCAAGGCTTCTTACAAAAGAAAGTATTTAATTGGTCCCATAGTTTTAGAGGTTTAGGATCCATGACAGTGAAACAACTAGAAAAAGTGCCAGAAACGGCTGAAAGCTCATATGTTGATCCACAAGTAGAGACAGAGAGAACTAATTCAAAATGGTAATAGTCTTTTGAAACCTCAAAGCCCGCCTTGAGTGACATACTTCCTCCAACAAGGTCACATCTCCTAATAGCTGCCAACTAGGGACCAAATATTCAAACATATTTGGGGGCCCATGGGAGCCATTAACATGCAAAACACCACACCATAACCACACCTCCTAAAGAGTGGCTACGGGTGTGTCCGACCACGCCCGTAAGGGTGTGGTCAAGGAGATGTCAGGGTGATGCAGGAGAGGTTTTAAAGGGACAGACAAGGCACATGGGCGCTCTCCCACCTTGCTGCTTTGGCACACTGTGGCTTGCTGTTGGCTGGCGTTTATCTACTAAAAGTTATCCTAACCTTATGGATCTCGTATCAGTTATTCACCACATTATTTCCACATGGTCTTATCTTACCAGAGAAAGAGTCCAGACCTGTTACTCCTCTCACTTCCTACATGGCAACTGACTCTGCCTACGTTTCCCAGAATCCTCCTCATCTTCTAGTCCCACCTATATTGCTGCCCTATTGGCCAACAGTTTTATTCATCAACCAATAAGGTAAACATATGTGCAGAAGCCATTCCCATCAAAACCCTGCTAACCCAGGCCAGTATTGGCTGCTTTTCTGGACTCTTTTTCAGTGAATTAAGTTACCCCATGACCCAAGGGGCCTCGGCATAGTGTTTGACACCAACAGTACAACCTGGGACAAATGTCGTCTTTTGCTTATTCTGCCTAGAGTTAGCTCCTCTCCTCATTTGTCACAAATACAGCAATTAAGCATCTATGCCCCAATTAGGGACAGAAATGCCGTGTCATAGTCATGTATTCATAGATCCTATTTCAGAGCTGAACACACAGGAGGCTCCCTGGGAATGCTTGCTGAATGGCATTAAATGACTTTTTACATGTACTAGATACAAAGAACACAATTACAAAATTAAATTCGGGAGTAGTTTTATATCTACAGAATGCTGTAGCATGAACGTTGAGCATCCACCAAAGGCCCAGGCATTGAAAGGTAGTAGGCGTGGGGAGCAGGTGTGTGCAGAACTCTCAGAAGATCCTCCTCCTGCTTGTAGCTCTGTTGATGGTGCCTCTGTGTTAGTTCTGCCTGAGGCAGTGGGAAGCACCGTGTGAAGGTAGTGGAAACTTTGTGGGGAGGGCAATTGAAGTCCTTAAATCACTGGGGGAAAGACTACAAGGGGGACTGTAGCAGACAACCCCTTCTACCTTTGTTTCTTGATCAGGAAGTGAGTAATTTACTCTGTTTTGAACTCCAGTCATCGCCATCAGAACAAACACCAGAGACCCAAAGCAATAGGCACATTAGATCAAAGACTGTGAACACACAAACTGCAAACCAAACAAGCTTTGTCCTCAGCAGAAGCTAATCTGTCAGGTATTTTTACTATTACTACTATTTTGGTGTGTGTCTGTGCATCGTGTAAGTGGGTGCTGCTGGGAATCGAACTTGGCTTCTCTGTGTGCTTAACTGCTGAGCTATCTCTCTAGCCAAGTATTTCTTGATAGTTTGAGTAAAGTAACTACAGCATTTTAAAAGGGGGTCTTTGGAGGGGGCTTTGGGGTCACATGGATTCAGAGGCTGATGCAGGAGGACCCAGAGCCTGAGGCCATTTAGGACTACATAGAGAACCTGTGTCAAACAAAAACAATAAAATTTAAGCAATTTTAAGACAAAAAAAAAAAACTAAAACAAAACACAGCCAGGCATTGGTAGTGTACGCCTTTAATCCCATCACTCGTGAGGCAGAGGCAGATGAATCTCTGTGAGTTCGAGGCTAGCCTGGTCTACAGAGTGAGTTCCAGGACAACCTCCAAAGCTACAGAGAAACCCTGTCTTGAAAACAAAACAAAACAAAACAACTCAACAATTATCCATAATTTGGGCATCCCTCAAAACCAGAACTGGTTCTAAGAAATCCAGACAGTATTTAGGTCAAGGGAGCTTTGCAGAGCAAAACTGCAAATGGAGCAAAATGAGTGACTACGTTGGGTACAGGTCATTTAAATAAACTGGCCCAGCTTCTGTACCCCAGGGACATTTTGCTGTCTGCATAATACCTCTCAATTAGCAGGAATGGGTTTGGTGTGCAGTAGCTCCCAGAATAGCTCAGTAGGTACAGGCACTTACTGCCGAGCCTGACATCTGAAAGATCTCCTCCAGCTCCTACACAGGTCCACAGACAGACATCAAATAAGAGAGTAAATGGAATTACTATTGTTATTTTTATTTTATTTTAGTAAACCTAGTCCAAAGCAATTGTCTCTGACCAATTCACCAACACAAAGGCTGGATGACAGTCGCCCAGGAACCACTCAGCCCGGTCGCCCTCGTTCCTGATTGCTAATACGCTTCACCTACTACTCCACCCGGGCTTCACGAGCAAGCCGGACGCTCGGCGTGGGCGACCCCTCCGCGGGCTCTTTTCGCAATCCCGGGGGAAGAAAGCGGGAATAA